AACAGCCCCGTAGAAGCAAGCGAGCCAAAGTAGCTTGCATCTGGTATATAGGAAAATAAGGGTCTTACCTTAACGTGCGGCACGTAACATCAGCAAGTTTGCTTTATGAAAATGGCATTACTCTCCCGTCCAGCCATTCTAGCAGTATGTGCAATGATGAGGGTTTTTTGTACAGTTCGGAATGCTTCCACCAATAGCAAGTCGTGTGCTGGTTGGTCGAACTGGAGGAGGCAATTTGCCTGTGTAACAGAGAATAACAGCGAAGAACGCTGATTGGCTGGGGAACCATGGTGTTGGCCTGATAAAAGAGTGCTGGAGCTGTGAAAAGGGGACATAAACATTGGCTATACGTAGTGACGTGTGAAGAAAGCAAGGACGGTGAATTGAACCAGCGATATTGTGATTTGTACAAGTGACAGTTGGGAGAGCAATAGACTTATTTAAGCTACAGGATCAAGTGCAATTTGGCTAGAAGTTTGGAAGTTCCTGTCACATGCTTATATTAACAGAATCGAAGAAGTGTTTAGGGCAGAGTAGTTTTGAGCCACCTATGGTAGAGATAGGCAGAGGTGTGTTAGGACAGAGTTGGAGCCTTAACTGGCCAAAGGGAAGAGTTGTTCCATTAGTCTGTCATGAAAGAAGTATCAGAAGTTATCTCAAGTATCTAGTTCTCCTTAGAGTGTGCCAAGTAAATCCCTGAATTAAATAACCAAGATAATAGAAACAGAATCTGCATTTTTTATTTCTTGCTGTGGCATTAATTTTTACCCTGTGTTCCCCTTGCGAATATACCCTTGGACATTCTTTGTTTTTGCATACACCAATGTGAAAAAGAATTGAGACAAAATATGGGGTGGTTTGTATAGTCAATGAAAGACTGATAGAGACCCAAGGTATGTTTGCAATAGCAATAAGGCTTTTGTCATATTTTGTAATGTACTGATGTCTTACTATAGACATTACATGCTTGAATGCACTAAAAGCTTTTTGATCAAAATACCTTTTTGAAATAGGTGTGCTTAATATGGCTGTGTGTCTTTTATGCTGTCAAATATGGTACTTCTCACCAAAGCTCATCCTGAATTTGTAATTGTACAATTAAAACTTTCATTGTCTCATTTCTTATCTATAATACATGATGAATACATCTGTCCAGAAAATATCCAGCTGTTTAATATTAATAAAAAAAAATGTTGTCTATCTAAGGGCAATAATGGCAATTTTGTCACCTTCAAAGCACTTTCCTTGAGATTTACATTCTTATCTCAACAGGCTTCCCATTTTTAAAAACATGCCGCAAAATCCTTTTTGGGATTACTATCAGTTACCTCATTGCATTATACTTAATTCTCATAATCTGAAATCTCTTTTCTTTCAGTAGCAATTTTAGATTTGGGAAAAACTAAAATTAAGAAGGGTGTTAAATCTAGATAATGCAGTGTTTTCCAAAAAACCTTGCACAAGATATTGTTAGTGTGATACAGTACTTTAGCTCATTCAATGGGATCTTAATTGCATATTGAGTAATCCCACAGGGGAGTATCTATTCATGCACACGCAGTAATATTTCCTCTGATTGTATTACACGTTATATTAAGGCCATGACATTAGTTTCAAGATGTTTAAAATGACTGGGTACATTTCAGATGGACTTCGGGTATATCTTATGGTCATGGTAATATTAGCTGATTCCCTACAAGGAAACATTTGGAATTCATTAACCAAGAAACCAGTACTACTTTTGGTTAGAATTTATAAAATCTTTTTCTGAAAACAATTTTCTCATGTCTAGTAGCTGTTATTGCTCTTTCCATCATTGATTGAAGTTTCCTTCCTAATTTTTTATTTGAAGTAGTGTGGAATATCAACATCTTGATTATGTCATTTTTTCTTTGAGTTACAGGTGATATCTATTTTAGTTGTTTCTGCTGTTGATAGTCCTGAAGTGATGTTTCTGCTATTTAGTACAGTTCTTTGTTTGTGATTCTGTAGCACCAATTCACAATGTTCAAAGAAGTATGGTTTTCGGTAAGATCCACAGGTTTCACCCACATATTATTTTTAATAATAAACCTTGGAAAGTTTAAAAAGTAAAACATTTCCAAAGTAATTTTTTTTCATTCACAGAAGTTCGCATTTGGTCAAAGACAACATGGCAATAAATATAACCTGACATAACTAATACTTGTCCTATACCCTGAAAATATAACATCTGTTAGAATGCTAGATATTTACCAGGTTAACCTTCATTTGGCCCAATCATTAATGCTAACTTACGAAAGACCAAATAATATAGAAGAATGCAGGTATCATATTTGTCAGACTGTTACTGTATAGATCAGTTATGATAAACTTAGTATAGGAGAAAAGGAATTTGTGTGTATTGAAAAATAATTTGGGAATGTTTTGCTTTTTAAATTTTCCAAGGTTTTGGTACTTGTATTTAGATTTTCTTATAGTGGTTTATCCATGTCAGTATTCATATACACTTGATGAAATGATGAAATTTTAAAAAATTTCTGAATAGACAATCTTGGGAAAATTCTCTTTTCAATTTTCATATTTGTCAATATCTAAACTGTAAGAATAAAGTTGGTGTTTTTTTTGCAGAAATATAACTAAACTTCATACAGTCTTGTGCACATATGAGAAAGTCTGTTGGTTTTACTAAGTATGGCAGAAGGCCAAATAAAGAATTGAGAGTAGAGGAATATGCATTTGTCTGAAATTACAAATAGTACTGAACCTAAAATATACAATTTTTTCTTTCTTATACATTTATACTTATGATAAAGTTTAATTATAAATTAGGTACAATATTGTTATGGAGTGATTTCCACAGTGGAGGCTTGTATTTGTACTAAGTCGGTCCTAAAATAGGTTCGACGTACAAAACGTTAGGAACTTGATATAATAGGTAATGACGCAGAGTAATCTAGTTGCGGTCGCTGATACTTTAGTATCCGACTAACGGTCGTCCAGCATCGACTAACTGACCGACCCACTGAGTGACTCCTTGTTACTCTTACTACTTCTACTTGTTATAGGTGGGATAGTCTATTAACTATAGAATAGGTGTGTTCCACTATAACAAATATGAGATTAACAAAAATAACTAATAATAAAATAGAACAGTTATAACAATATATTGTAATTTGTTTATCAATCTTTTGATAAGAACAGTGAGGCTTGGGCTCTAGCTTTAGATATCTTGAAGGTGTGAGATAAGGTTTGGTATACTGGCCTTCTCCACAAGCACAAGTGGTGTCTCTTGCTGGATATTTGACTTAATCCAATCATTCGTAATAAATTGGGTAATGAAGGTTGTGTTGAATGATCACATTTTTAGATTATTTCACATTAATGCCATGTTCCTCAAAGCTCTATCCTCAAACCTAAATTGTTTCTTAATAACCTTCCCAACTATGTATTTATGCTGAGGATACAACTATTTACTCCTGTCTTGATAGTAATAGATCTGACAAATTAAAACTGCTCTTGAAAATGACCTTCAGTCAGTTGATAAATGAAGTAAGAAATGGCATGGAAATTTTAATGCCTCCAAAATGAAACCACTATCCTTTAATCATTAGAGAGAACAATTGTACCCTCCTTCAGCATGCTTGATGCTAACCTCTTTGAGAGGAACTTGTTATGTCGTCTTAGTCTCACATTTTCTAATGACATGAATTAGACCAATTATATTGAATAAATTGCTAGGTTTGCTGCTAAGAAGATTAGTTCACTCTGTTCCAGTCAGTTTTTCTTGTCAGAATCCATCTTGCACATTTATAAATTTACCATTATTCCATGCATTGAATATCTGGTACTCTGGCCATATATCTCGCTATTCTAGACAAAATCCCAAGAACAGTCTGTAATGTTATCAGTCATAACTTGGCATCTTGATTTCAGTCACTTTCCCACCACCATGATATGGTTTCCCTCTGTCTTTTCTATAAACATTTTCATGACACTTGTTCTGATGAGCTTTCCTCTTTTGTAACTCATATGAATTTAAATGTACTACAATTGGGCAACTAGGTCTCCTCATTTTACTGTTAAAATAGCTAGATGTAAATATAACTTCTATTCTAATAGTTTCTTTTTTTGCACTTCTTCCCTGTGGAACTCTGTTCTGATTTCTTACTTCCCTGTCACCTACAATTTTTTTTGCACATCTTCCCTGTGGAACTCTGTTCTGATTTCTTACTTCCCTGCCGCCTACAATTTTTTTTTTCACTTCTTCCCTGTGGAACTCTGTTCCGATTTCTTACTTCCCTGCCACCTACAATCTTCAAAAATTTAAATAGAAAATTAATTAATAATAGTGTGAGGTTTGTGTTTAGGCTCACCTTGTTAATAAGGATTTGTTTGTTTTTATGCTTGTTAAGAAGTTGAAAATTTATTTTTTAAAATAAAAGTATTTTAAGTAAATCTTTCATTATTTAGAAATTAGTAATCTTTTTATTTTGCCATCAATTTTCCTACTTTAATACAAAAACAATTTTTAAAAAATTGTAAGCATTCTTGGTCACTTAGGAAAGAGGACTTGGAGAATTTGACACTTACAGGATGTATCAAAAGAAAAAGGGACAGGGAAAGGCAGCAGTCCACCTACCTGATGAACTTGTGTGAATTGAAGGTGGAGAGTCTTGACAAAGAGGCAAAAGTTACTAAGAAGGTTGTGGAGAGCCATGATCATCCACAACTTGGACATTAAACTTCTGCTGATTAGGGATTAGTGGAAGTATAAGTTAAATTTAAATTTTACATTTGTAATTTTACTAATTACAGTGTCTCTCCTTATGTAACTATAATATAATTTCTGTAAGTAGAAAGTGACTTGACATCAATCTTAAAGCAAGATTTTATAATAAGAATTGTTGTACTTTTTGAAAAATTGGATCATAGATGCATATTTTAAGATTATGTGATGGACATTTTTATAATATCTTCTTTTCTTCCAGTTTCTTTTTTAGGGATTACTGTGTATCAATATGGATCATCAACACTTAGAGACAGCACGGAACAGGCTCCTAGAGAACCAGGCTCTGGAGAATATTCTTCAAAAGAATGGACAATTCCTTCTGGATATATTGTACAAAAAGTAAGTACTTCAAGTTTCTAAAATTTTAGTGCTCGTAAAATTCATTGTCATTTAAATAACTAAGTACTACCTAGTTAGTTCTCTTAAGTGTTCCGCAGAACAAGGTTTGGGAGAAATAACTAAAAGGCAAAATTTATTAAGCACTACAAAGGACAGGAAATTGTGGAGAGGCATGATCACCTATGTCCTGAGGGGACATGGCCCAAGAAGAAGACTACCTAGGTCACCTTTTGAGATTTCGGTGGTGCATATATTAGGAGTCACAAATTGAAATTCTGTGTTCCCAGTTTACAACTGACTCACAATAATTAGGGCACATCAATTGTTCAGTGTAAAGGATTTTTTTTTGCATGACACCATTGTAATTTAGTGTCACAAATCTGGTCTGTTACATTCTACCATTGACCACATCCAACATTCTGTTGCCAATGTCTTCACTGTAAACCTGGCAGAAGTGGCTTCCAGGTGCTCTGCCTTGCCAAAGAGCAACCTATGATTTAGCCTCAGGGCCACATACATTTTGAATTCAGAATTGTACTTCTCTTAGACTGATTGCCAACCATGGCAAGAGAGCTCAGTCTACCTTGCTATTTAACCCATGCCTCGGGGAGAAGAGATGGATTCATACCTTTCCCATTTTGCATGTAAGTGAATGGAATGAACTTGACTGGAATTCAAAATCAGCTTTCTGATTTCTCATTCTGAACTACTGTCCATTACATCATCTTCATATTCTGACATTTAAATATTGTATATAATAAATCCTCGCATATATAAACCAATATTGGTCAATACTAGTTTTTTGGCCAAAAAACAATAATTTAAAAGGTTTAGATTAATGTTTAGGTTTATAGATTAATGTTAGTTTTTTTTTTTCTTATAATTTCACCCCAAGTAAGGCAGTAAAGCCACTAAGATGCAAGGGGTTACTGAGTGCTAGGGGAAAAAACACTATCAAGAAGAGAGAACAATAAAAGAACAGGAATTAAGAAGACAGAAGATAACAATTGACATTGCATTTTAAATTTTTGAAGATCAAAGTTGACTGGGAAACAAGAAGCCGGGAGAGAGTTCCACAAGCGAGAAGTGTGATAGAAGAAATTGTTATCATAGAACTTATAGTTACATCTAACCATTTCAACTGTAAAATGATGAAACCTTGCCTCTTAAATTCATAAAATTTAGGTACCAAAGAGGAAAGCTCATCATAACATGAAATTTTAACTATAGAACTACAAATTAGACTAAGAAAGCAACATATGTATGGTACACCTTTTGGAAAACACTTATGAAAATTACTCGTATGTACTCCAAATTGAAAGTTGTCTTCTTAGTGTTGGTTTGTTTTTCTAGGGTTTTATAGGGAACAGTTATCATCTTAGATTTGTAAGCTGAGTTAAGAAAGAACTGAATTTAAATTCTTTTTAATTTTTTTTTTTAATCTTTTTTCTTATCCTCACTGCTGTATATTCTCTATGACAACAGTTTATCTCTGAAGGCACATTGGAATACAAGAGATGCCTTCCAAAAACTAAAAGTATTAAGAAACAAGAACATTTCATTAAAAACAAGTAAAATATTGCTGAACTTCTATGTAATATCTAATCTTCTATATAGCAATGGATACTGGACAATTTTCTCATAGATGAAGAGAAGATTTAAGACAATAGAGCAGTTGTTATGTAGAGGCATGTTGAGAATACTATGGACAAAGCATGTAAGCAATAAGGAAATCTTATGGAAACTAGAAACAAAAAGAACACTTGTACTTAGAATGAGACAGTTGAAGTTCCTTGGACACATTATAAAAAAAGAAGGTTTGGAAAATTTGACACTCACAGAAGATATTGAAGGCAAGAGGGACAGAGGAAAATGATGAATAACCCTTGTAACAAATTTGTGTTGATGGATAGCTGGCAGAACAGAAAGTAGGAGGGATAGTAAAAAGACAAATATTGCTTAGAACTATAAAGGATAGGAAATTGTGGAGAGCTATAATTGTTTATGTCCTGAAGGAACATGGTACATAGAAGATTCAGTTGTGGAAGGCTACACAAAATTTAGCAAATACAGCTACAATTTATGTCAATATTGACCCCAAGCTATGGTTTAACTCTCTATTGGTACTGTGGGATGTCCGAACAGCCCACAAAAAGGTTTTCTTTAATATTTAGCAAGTGGAAAATCAAATTTTTCATTTTTAGTCAAGTAGCTTTCTGAATATGTCTGTCAAGGAGTTTGTGAATTTGCATGAATTACAAGCACATGACTGTAAAGCAAAGAAAAATTGTAGTAAAACATATGCAATATTCAAAGTAACCTTCTTGTTTATTGCTTGGAATGTGAAAAAAAAATAGTTGAAGAGGAGTCAGATTGATCATAAAAAATCAGTATTATAAACTTAATAATAAAAAAAATAAAATAAAAATTTTTTTTTACATATTTCAAAACTTTGAAACTTACAAACTTATTTTTATTTATGTTTAATTCAATTTTTTTTTTTAAAAATTTTCATTCAAGTTATAAAATTTGAAAGAACACTAAAGACAACATACAGAGTGCGATGGATAAATTGTCGTCTAAATTACACAAAAAAGGAAAATAACACTGATATCTCATTTTAACAGATATATTTAACAAAATTACAAAAAAAATCTTGAAATACAAATGAGAAAATTTATTTAATAAATTGCTTCAACCACGACCTTCAGATAACTTTGGAATCTCCTGCAACTCTTCTGGAGAAACTAAATCCTTGTTTAAGTTGGTGAATGCTGCCATAATCCTTGAAGTTCAGTTCATCTTTGGAGTTACTAGGAGTTTTGTTGGTTGTTCATTCAACCATGCCCCAAACATAATAATCAAGGGGATTGCAATCTGGGAGTTATAATGGAATCTAATGTAGGTGTGATTTGGTTTTTTGGGAAATTTCTGATTTTTGTTCTAGGTTCTCCTGCCTGTGTTGCATTGGAAATCATTATTCAAATCTTCCAATAGCCACCCTCTTGAAAAAAATTTAAACAATGAACAAATCAAAAAACTATATGTTGGCCTCTTGTTGTGTCTCTGAGTCCCTTGGTCAAAGATATGATGGAGGCTTAATGTTGCCATCAATATTTGATTTTCAAACACCTTTATAATTTAAATAATCATCCAACTCTTTTGATTTCTCTGCATATTCCTCAGATTGAAACCTAAACACTTTTAAAATAAATTTTATTATGAGCTTTTGGTAAAGATGTCAATAAGTATTTGCAAAAATTCCAAATTTCTGGAGGAAACTTAATTGTGTCAATTTTGCTCTTTTCTTGCAGTCAATTAAAAATTGACCCTAAACATTGTGCAGCTGTCAAAATAAAAAATAATCTATAAAATATATTATATTTGTACCTTATTTATGCAACAAAGAAAGAAATTAAAAAATTTTTGAATATTTATATAAAATATATATTTTTCATTGTTAATATTACATTCACAAGTAACATTTATTTAAAATATTAAATGTTATTTAAATTGATATTTTAATTGATAAATATTAGATTTGATTTATAATATAATATTTAAATATATAAACACCTACCTGCCCAAATATATAAAAATTGTTATGTATTCCATCTACATTAGCATCAGAAAAAATTTTTATATTCAATATGTAATTTGATTTTCTTTTAATTGTTTAAGGTTTCAATGTCTTTTGTTTTGATTTTAAAAAGCAAAAATTTTTTTATATATCATAAGATTGATTGATCTTTGCCTTCTAATAGTTGTGCAACCTGGTATTTTAGTTCAATTATTCTATGATGACACACATTCTGGTGGATTCTGTGAAGCAACACAACCTCTTGCCACCCCAAAAATAATATCTATACTGACAAATCTGTAAGATTTTCTATTGCAACAATTTAAAAATTTATTATATTGTATAATAGACATCATTGTTGAATCATTCTTATGTGCAGTATCTTCATATAAAATGAATATAGTTATGTAGTATATTTGTTTTTGCCTTTTATTTGTTTAAAAAAGTTACATATTTTTTTTTTTCTTACTCAAAATTTTGCAAAAAATATTTCTGCATATTTTTTCAGTCTGAAAGTTGTTAATCTCTGAAATAAACTCTTCTTTTAGAATGTCAAAAAAAAAACACAACACAGAATCAAGAGGCAAATGGTTATAATTCTTCTAGTTAATTGAAATAAGAAATTTTAATTTTTGCTTTATACAGTGGGGTAAAAATTATGAACAGATATTTGACATTAAAAGGTGAATTTAAAATGAACTGAAATTTGAATAACAAATTACAGACTAATTTTATTTAATCATTATATATATTGTTTCATATTATTGATATGAATTGTCAGTTCATAAATTGAAAAAAGAATAAAAAATATTTGATGTTTTAATTTTTTTCAAATTATTTTCATAATAAAAAAATTTAAAATCATAACCATTTTTTTACGAAATTAAGTTTTGATTTTTGTTACCATAATAAATTAGAAAAAAATAAATTTTTTGTTTTTAATATGTCAATAAAAATGAGTTTTATATTGAAAAAATTTGTTAAAAATATTAATAACAACAATCTGATTTAATAGAAAAAAACAAGGATGAATGTAAAAGTGTTCAAAAAAATTTCAGCACTAAACTTATTAAAACTTAGTTAATCATTTTAGTTTTTTATTAAAATTATATAGATGTAAAAATTTGCTTTATGGATTTAAAGAAAATAAGAAAATATCCCAGTGAAAAATTATTTATCATAATTTATGCAAAGGTCAAACAATTGTTTGATAAAATTATTTGCATTACATTTTTTTGATGTTTTTTTTGCATCTGGATTTTAAAATTTCAATTTATTTCTGTAAAATTTTTTAAATTTCTATTATATATATATATATATATATATATATATATATATACATACACATACAGTGCGATGGGTAAATTGTCGCCATTTTATATTTTTAATTTTGTGTATGTGCATTGTTTGTTTTTGATTT